GCGGTTGGATTTCTGTGGCGTGTCGCTTCCAACACAAATGCAGAAGGCGGTCCTGCTCGATACGGCACGTATTGTTCGCCGGTTCTTGAACCTGAGTCCCTGACCCCGGCCGATTATGTTCAGGATCCCGTTCAAGCTGATCCCGCGCAGTCTGCTTAGAACTGAAGCGCATCTGTTTCGCATGAAGGCATGGAAACAATTCGGTCGCGCTTCGGTGAACATGCCAGAGGCGCTACAGAAACGCACCAACCATTAGAGCATTATTATATTAGATACGTAAAGCTTCCTGCAAGTATTTGGCCCATAGGCTTTAACTGTAAAAAGATTGACAATATCCTGTAAACAGCGTTATCTTTACTTCATTCGTACATCGAGCGAACTTACGGGCCAACATGTTGCACCTGACAGACAACGCTCTACGTTCTCGTTCTATATCTAAATTGTCTCTAAGATCTTCGGTAACCCTAAAAAAAAGCTCAACGACTTTATTTAGAGGAGTCCCACAAAGTTTAAAAAAGTTAATATTAATGAGTACAATTTTTTCTCAAATTCTTAGGTTGTATAAACCCATAACTCTATGGCACTAGGCCATGGTTCCCATGCTCGGTCAATTATACACTCAACTATAGTTTAAAATAAAAATATTTACAGAGCAATCGGTCACGTACATCACGCTTAATTGTTACGGTACTTTCACGGCCAGCAGACGAAGTATCGCAACATTCACAATTTACTCTTTCGTTCTGGATGCGGATCAGATGGTTTTTGTGTGAGGTTTTTTTATTTAGGGCGTCACTACAATCGCTAAATCTTGAGCTGGCAGAAAGACCCTCATGTTCTTGCAATTAAAGCGAAAAAGATATTCGCGTGTTGCTACCGCTCGGACCACCGACACGTAACGCACGTCTTTTTCGTCACGCCTGCTCGTAAACAGCTCGTAATGTGCTGAATTACGCCCATAGGCTTTTTCGTTACTTTATTGCCTTAAGGCCATAATGGATTTTTAACTCTAATTGCACTGTACTTCGCTTAATTGTTAAGATTAAGCAAAAAGTTTTAATGCTCGAAAAATCTGAATTATTTCATATAATCTTGAAGCATAGTAAAAAGGACTAAACATTTGCTAAATTCTGCAGTAATATTCTTAGTATTTTGAAATTATTTATTTATATATTTACCATCATGGCGGTATGCGCTATTGCCATTTACACCATTTTAGTTCGAATTGTATTATTTATGATAAAAAAACGTGTCGATAAGTGTGGTGACCTCCTTATTATTCATCAGATTGTGATGAAAAGATTCTAGGCCTGTGCAGAACCTTCCTGTGTTCCTCGAAGGTGGTAAAATCAGTGCGCTTTACTTGTATGCAACACCCGTACTCAGTTATACTTTCCTATTAAGCTTGCTGCAGCACACACAGGTTGCTGTTTTCTTTATTGGTTAGGTTAGTTAATTTCGTTAGTTTTGTTTCTGATTTGAGTCAGTTTTTCTTTATTGCTTTATGTAATTAGACCTGTCGTACTTTATGAATCAGAACATTGGGCGATGAAAATGGAGGATGAACGAACTGTGCATGCAGCGGAAATGCGCATCTTGAGATGGATGTGTGGAATGACGAGAAAGAATAAGATAAGGAATGAGTACATCCGCGGAAGTTTGAAAGTGGCGCCAGTAACGGAAAAGATGAGGAGCAACATGTTAACGCGGTAGGGACATATCATGCGGAGGGAAGAATGTCATGTGACAAAAAGAGTGTTAGCTATGAATGTGGAAGGATATAAGAGGATAGGAAGGCCAAAGAAAAGATGGATGGATTGTGTGAAATATGGCATAGGTAAGAAAGGTATGGAAATGACGGTTGATAGGGGAGAGTGGAAGAAAAATACATACTATGCCGACCCCACCTACGTGGGATAAGGACAGGAAGAAGCTTTATATTGTTATACGGGGTGGTAAGTCAATAAACGTGTTATCTATCTATCCACTACTATAAAGCAGCATTTCATATACTCAATAGCAAGTTTTTGGGTAACTGACAAAGTGCATTAAAAAACGCTGGCGGTGAAATATGACAAAATCGTATTTGATACGAATAACTTTTAATTTAAAAAAAACCGACTTCATACTTTGTGGAATTACATCTATTTGCCAAGTTTTATCAGTTAACGGAAAATGGTGAAATCAAATTAACCAAATTTTATCTTCTAATTTGCCTCCCCAGATGTCAAACATATTCTTCAAATTTGAATGGTACAACTACTAGACTACCTTTCCAACAAAATAGAATCGAAAACGGTACACTAATTTCGGAGTAGCCGCGTAACATATGTATACAAAAAAAAAAACATACAAACGATTAAAAATGAAATTGTAAATATTAATGCATCAGAATAAAATGTAATGAGTGTTTCCCAAAAACTATAGTCTGGGATTATTTAACGCTACAGTAAATAGGCATTTTTTAGACATACACGTACAGAGTCAAGAGCATGTCAAGCTTTACATCTAAGATTTAAATCCAACTCTATGCCGCTTACGACAAGAGCGGTCAAAAGTACAAAGTGTCAAGCATGACGTGCTCTTGATTGTACTATCGTTGGCCACATCGAGAAGAAGAGAAGAAGAGAAACTATGAAATAATAATATTTTAAATTTAAATGAATACGACAAGAAATATGAGGAAATTTGCCAGCATGGATATTGAAGATATTAGTATTTTGTTCCGTTGCCATTACTTATATATAAACAGTAAATTATACAAATATAAATAAGGTAAAAAAATACTGTCAATTGAGCACCTCCTTTTTTTGAGCCGGTTAAAAATATTGGTTTCATTTTTGGTAAGTTATTTTTTAAATTTTATCTATTTTCCAAATATATTACTTTTCAAAATAACTCCTTTTGTGTGTTGGATGTGAAATGTTATGTCCCACAATACCCGCATGTTTCACGGACGGCACCGCGTTTGCGGTATGAAGGATACTCATCGCAAATATCCATTGCCGGCGAAATTTCGCAGTCCATCACTCGATCGTTTGTTTGATTGCCGGATTATACTACTACACACACTACTAAACACTACACGTTTCGCCACTTCTTTATAATAAAATTTTAGACTGTAGTTTTACATATTTTGCTTGTCGATGGACCACAGTCACCTCTCACAGTCTGTTGAACTGTGGGTTTGTCAACTGTTTATCATAAAAATAAAAATTATCTAAGTAAGTAAGTTCTCGTTAAGAAACTCTCTCTCGTTAATTAAGAAACATCGAATGTATTTCCACGAATATGGTGAATAACGATTAAGAGATTAATAACAAGAACTATTAAGTATACTTAATTTTTAAGTAGTACTTGTTGTCTATCTAAACGTTATCGTCGGGGATAGTGCAGTTACGATAACTAGCATTTGATTATAAGTCTCCATTACGGTAATTTAGGGGCCAAGTCAAATCCGCGTATATGTCCTGGCAACCAAATTAGCGCGATTTACGGGAATCTATTGTTATCAGTCCGTAGACAACATAAATTAATACTTACCGTGCAAAAGTGAAAGTCGTAGCCATTGAATTAACAAAGTAATAAAGTTAAATCCCTCTTCTGTAAAACTTGGTTTGGTGCGAATACGCGCTTTTTACCAACACTACATACGCGGATTTGCACTGTCGTCGACGTTATTTTGTTTAATTGTTACATTCTGAAGTGCCTATGTTATAAATTAGTTTTATGTAATCTAACTGTGACCGAAAACATTCATATTGTGAACCGTTGAATAAGTGATAAATTAGATAAGTTAGAAAAGGAATAAAATAATAATAAAGGTAATCGGCCGTGTCGGCCATTAGAACCATTAAATAGCGTTGATATTTCAAAATCACTGAAACCAGGTTGCTGAAACAGCTCCTCGCCGCTTTGGTGGATAATGGCCCTTTGACATAAAGCGATTATCACAAATGGCCTTTTTCGGAGAGAATGGAATGTAATAGGCCATTGTGATGTAGTGTGCTGGTTGTAATTCACGAAGAATATTTGAATGAATGAATGATATTTTATGCATTTTGTAATATTATAATTTTGGTTGTATTCGTATTGTCAGAACGAACTGAAAGTCGGCGTTGTGGTTCCCGCTATGACGGTACAACGAGCTGCATTCTGTTTTTTTTTATCGTATTCTTACCGATGTTATGTCATATTTAGAAACAGTAAGAAATTTCTTAAACAATGTATTACGGAATAAACTTTTTCATCTGAAACTATCTATATATATCATCGGAGACGACCTGGGACTTGGGCTAAAAAGAGACAGATAATATTATGATTAAGGCTAGATGTCTTACCCATTCTAACGACGTCTTTCTAACACAAATTTAATTACAAATCTACAAGTGTATTTTACATATCAAGAACCATTCGCTCTTAAATCACAAAGTGGACTAACGTCTCGTACAATCACAGAAAGAAGACCTTAATAAAAAAATATCTGTTCAAAGTTATAAACAAGTTTTGATGACCCTGGCAAGTAAAATAATAGTTTCAACCGGGCACTGTGATGTCAAAATATACAATGTGAATTTTGACTTCGGCAATTTTGTGCCACTATAAACACCTAAAGCGTTTAGTAGAGTTGTTAGCTTAGTGTTCGACCAGAGAAGTACTACCATCTTACCTATTTCTGCCGCCAAGCTGTAGTGTAAGCATTATTACATTCCAGTTCCAAAAATATATGGGTGGTGGTGAAATTATAGGTAATGGGACATGTTAACTTGTGTCTCAGGGTGGTAGGCGCAGTGGCAGTGCCCCTCAGATCTTTGTGATATAAAGCTCTGAGTGGTACTGCATATATTAAGGACAGGCGTGTCGCTTACCATCAGACACCCGACTTGTTCATTATAGATGTGTAATCATATCAGCCTGCACAAAATTTACTGACACTACAAATACGTAACAAGTTTTACAAATTTAGTTCAATAAATTAAATTTGTAAGTTATTATTTTACCTGAAATCAATCGATGCCTAATAAACAGCTTTCGAAATGTCACAACACTGGGCACTATGCAAAATCACAACACATCACTATGTAAATTAAAAAAATAATACATTCCAAATTCAAAATTATTTCATTTCACACGCAATGAGATTACAAATCGCGAACTTTAAAAAAGAATCGCGAAAACATAAAGAATGGCGGACGAGTGCAGTTGGCGCGAAATGAACGTGAAATGTCAAAACGCGCGGGAAACGAAAGGTCGCGGTCTCTAAAAATGGCGGGGGTAAGCACAACCAAGTTGATATCGTTTATAATGTAACTATGAGCTAAATCTGTAATTGTACGAGTATAATTGTGTTTATGTAATTTAATTCATTAAAACGGATAAACTTTGTAATTGTCGCAGCCACTCGTAAGTTTGTGATTTAACAATATTAATATTATTGTTAATTTCACTTGAAATTAGGTCTTACGTAACAATTTGTTTTGTGTAGTTTGTGTGTTGTTCCGAACCAGTGACCATAAATTATAATGATGATACTTATTTGATAATGTTAAATATTGCATTTTTTTAAGTGTGCCAATGAAATTAGAGCTCTTAGAGTGTTTATTTAAATACTTATCTTTTAAATCTTAAGTGAAGTGTCTGTTCTAAGAAATTAAATTCAAGTCACAAGAAAAACCTAAATCGTTAATAATTTTATTAATGTATTCCGTTTCAATGTAAATGCCAATTAATTCAAACGTACACTAGCGGATAGACCTTAGAGCACAAAGTCAAATTGGATCCGTACAAAGGAACAACAATTCAGTGATACATTTCCTCCTTTCATAATGCTTACGGCAAAGGAATAGAATTGACTACGTCTGTTTGCGAAAACTGCCATTTTGGGCTACGTAAGGCTAGAGTGAATAGTCATTTTTCATCACGCACATTGTCGCTTAACATCCACCCCGTACATTCGTTCTCAATGATTGTCTAATAAATAATACTCAACCAAACTAAACGTAGACCCCCAGGTGAGATAAGGACAAACAAGCGTCTATTTTACATTAAAAAAAATCACGGAAAATTTAGATATAGGCATCAATAAGAGGTAACGCAAGGCCGTTCTCGCCAAGCACGAAACATTCGTCGTTCGCGTAGGAGTTGTAGCATAATTAGGAGTAGTTAAACAAAAAGAATTCAATCACTTTCGAGATATGGCAGTTTGAAGTTTAAAAGTGTTTCTCAGTCTTGTTTTATTTTCAAAATAATATTTAAATAATATTTATAATGTCATGTAACTCTAGAGATATTTGTTTATGTTTATATGTTGTATTTTTTTGCTGATGTAAGAGGTTAGACTTTAAAAACCGTTTGGTACATATAACTGATTTTTTGGTAATTTTGTGGAGTGTGTCCTGTTAGCTTAACTACGTCCAATTAAAAATAAGCTTTTTCGAATTATGAATATTACTTGTGTTATTTACGAAACTATCAAAAACTTTTGTACAAATAAAGTTACGGATACAAACACTGAAAGTTCCGAAAATCTTGGTAACTTAATACTACACTACCAAGTTAATTTATATAAGTAGAACAAATTTAAAAGCTACTTTTTCATTTCATTAACTTAAGTGCTTGTTAAATAATTCCATCATACAGAAATATTGTTACCAGTGACAACATATGACGTACATCGGTAAATAAGTATTTTTTTCGGAAGTTTAGTACCTTTTTTTTTCATAGAATTGTAATTTGAACAAGTTCTTGATTGTTTCATAAATGAATTGATTAATAAAATTATCGTTTTTTGCGCTTCGATGTAATAATTAGTTTTTGGTTTAATGAAAGACCCACTTATTGCTTTCGATTTCTTGTTATTGTGTCTTGCTTATAGATGAATTCAACAATATTGAGTCAAATAATAACATTAATTTTAAAGCAGCTAAGTTAGTATTAGAATTAGTGTCCGTTCGCTGTTTATTTCCTCGAACGTCTACTTGATATCGTCCCAATGATGATTCTCGTTTAGAAGATTGCACAATATACGCCACCGATCCCCTTAGATACGGCCTTCAAAAGAGATTGTAACTGAAATTCTGGGTAAACACAACGTAATAATACATTTAACTAAAATTCTTGACAAAAATATCTATTATTGTAATAGGCACAAATTAGTGTGTCTTGTTGGTTTTGAGTTTAGTAATTGTAATCAATTGTTGTTGTTGTCTCAACTCACGTTTTTATTTATGCGGTTAGCAACACTATTTTGTATTGGTATCAATATTTTGTTTTGTAGTGATGGTCTGAATAGTTCAATATTTCTTAAAAGTACTGTATGTTCGGTAAGGTGTTTAGCCTGAATGACATAACGTATTATGTTAGTTTACAATTACAATAAGATCTTTATATACACACATATCATGCACCCTTTATGATGTGTTCAAAAACCGCAAATTACGACCAGCTTAAAGATGAACAGTTTTGTTAGAACAAATTTCTTATCTGTGAAAATGTTATTATATAATATTAAATAAAAGTAACATCAAATTCGATATTATTACATTCAAATTTCGAACATCTCTGAAAAACAAAACAATTTGATTCGACCTCAATTCTAATATCAGTCGAGATGAAGTTTTATTCGAAATGAAATGTCAATAACAAAGAATTTTGACAAATTTCCTTTGTTTATTTTTCCATACTCTAAGCAAATTTCACACGTTACTTGATATCGAACGTTATGATAGTTTGGGGAGACTCTAGTTTGTCTATGAATTAAAGATAAAAACTACGGTTGTGTGATATGCGTGAGAAAAGTTTTTATTTGCCGCCATTTAGCCAGTCGTAACATGCGGTTCCTGAACACATCATTGAGCGCTAATAAATTGTGTATATAGATAAAGCAGTGCATGTAACTGTACATAATTAGGCATCAAAACCCTCGTGTTTTCAAGCCTTTCACTATGTAACAGTCATATAAACTGCTATTTTATATTACTTTATTTAAGTTTATTTTCAAATAAAGATATTTTAATTCAAAATCAATCAATAATTGTAATACAAAATTTATGCTGATTAGAAGTTTAGTTTTGAACATTGACAAGTATCTTGGCCTCGAAATAGTAGTTCTTGACATCAATGTTCATGTTAGTAGTCGCAGAAGTAAGTTCGCCCGAAAAACGTGTAGGTAAACAGCCTTACAAAACAGTGATGTGTAAAACAGACGCAACAAAAGCGTTTTAATTTCGTCCCGTGAATAAAGTACCCTAAAGGATTTTTCGAAATGACGCTTTGGCGCTTTGTACAAATCACCGACCATGTGAATCTTTTTGTAATTCATCAAATTAGTATTTCTATCTTAAATCAAAGAAAGCTCTTCTATACGACACCAAGCGACGGGCCGCACTGTCCATAGCAGCTGCAGCGCCGCCGCTCACAACTTTAAATCGCAAAGATCTAAGGGGCACTGCCACTGCACCTGTCACCCTGAGACATAAGTAGAAAAGTCACATGTGCCGGGTTTCCCTCTCGCCGGTTGAGTCGGCGCCGTGGGATCGGTGAACATTCACCACGACGCCGCCCGGCCGCCCTAGCTTGCGCCAAGGCTCCCGCGCCAACGGAGGGGCGACTCGGTTTTGTCCTCCGACCCAGACGAGTGAGGCCGTGCAATGCAGGCTCCGGAGTCCCTGTCCAGAGCCCGCTGGTCTCACTAGGAGATCAGGCGAGCAACGAACTGCCTTCGCCTTCTCCCCTCTTTTTGCGACATAACCTCTGCGCAAAAGGAGGCCACCGCCTCCCAGGCCTCCTCGCTACCGAGCATGGCGGCAACCACACTCGGCAGCGAGAGGTCCTGCCCTACAGTCCCCGTCAGAGTGCGGCGCTGCCCATCCCACCGGCTGCACACCTCTAGGGTGTGCTGAGGCGGCAATGACCTGGACCAACTCTTTCACAAGGAGCTCTACTGCTATGAAAATAAAGCTATTATGATACTATAAGCTCCTCCTCCCGATGTCATATTTAAACTATTTTCAGTATAATGCAATGCTTTATTTAAGAGCGGTTTTAGCAGCGATGCAGTCGCTGATCGTCTACCTTTACACACGCGATACAAGCGCGATGCAATCGCGATGCAAACGTGATACAAACGCGATGCACGTTTTCAATTAATTAAGTATTTTATTTATTTAATGTATTCAATAAGAGGTTTACTTTGCATGCAAATTAGTTAAAGATAAACGAATAAAGTAAGTAACCTCGTCATCTACTACATTTTGTGACTCGGACTCAGCGAAAGAGAAATTATCAATCCTTGCGAATACAACCTTCTTCACCAACTCAATGTTACACGAACATCTATTTTAACGGAGTCACGGGCACAGTCTAGTTTCAATAGCTCTATTGACTAAACAAGTTATAATCGGAGGTCAACGGTGAAGTAACTGGTACATACGTTTTTAATTTAAACAAGTTATGCATTCGACCCGGAAGGAATTGCATTCGGCCTTCGTCGGCCCCTTTTTAAAAAGCGGATGATATGTGTAACACATTGTTACGATTGCTGTTGTTGATGTCGGTCTAGATTGTTCCTTCTGTGTACTTTTTTTAATTGTTACGTAATGGACGAGTAGGGCGTTTAAAATAAAATTTTATTATTACAAAGGAAATTCGAAAAACCATACAAGACTAAAGTTACAAAATCATATAGTATTACATTTAATCAATATAACCACTGTACTAATTTGATGCAGTCAGCGGTTTATCAGGCCTTACACAATCTCAAGCGACGATGTAACCGACGGCGCTACACGTTTGACTAAAAAATATTTATTGGCCTTGAATAGCCCCAAATTGGGAAAGTCCACCAGTTAAAAGTAGCCAAGCGATATATGGAACGAGCTATGTCCGCGGTTTCTCTGAAGGATAAGACTCTTTCTAGAAGGAGAGGCCTATGTCTAACAGTGGACTGCGGTAGGCAGACGATAACGTTGGTGACAGATGTATATATATTTGGTATGGTATGGATTATGATGGAGGAAGCAAAGCATTTCGTACTGGGGGTATCTTATTACAAGTTTTCGCGATTTCTACGCATTGGAATTATTTTTTCGGATCTCAATCTCCATATAAGTATCACAGTTAACCATGAGACGTGCAAAGTGCCCGAAACCTTTTCAAGATAAATTTCTTTGTTACTTTTAAAGTTTTTTAGACATTAAATAAAAC